AGGGTATGGTAAACCCTGTTTCCCGAACGCGAAGCCGCAACCCTGATCCCTGCTTCTATCTATAGGACCACCTCAACCCAAACCCTAAGCCCTAAACATAGGACCAATTGGTTGGGCTATTTTTTCCAAACCCCAGACTTAAGCCTGAAGATCTAAAAGCTAAAGAGGTTTGAAGCTGCGGCTTATAGGAGTTTAGGGTTTAGGGTTTATGGGTGTATGTAGAGACCTGAGGGCAATTGTCAGCATGTGGGGTCTTTCATGGACAGTGCTTTGAGGATGTTTGGTACCTTGGGTGATGGCTCTCAATTAATGTCCCTACCACAGGGAATCACCCCACAATGCTCAAAGGTTTGGGAGACGGAAGGTACTTGTAGCCCTAAACCCTAATTGTGACTGCTTGGATGCTCAGGGGACTGAGTAACTAGGTTGCACGCGCGCGAGACGCTTGGAGGTGGTGAGGTGACTGGATGTGTTTATTACCATGGTTTCGGCGCGAGTTAGCCAAAAATTTGGGATTTTCAAGTTAGGCAAAACTATATGTTTTATGACAGGAGGCATGGCCGTATGCACTGGTAACAGTATGCTCTCGAAACACGACGTTCTTATGGTCTGGGCATGGATGACCGGGTAACTGTATGCTACCGAAACACGAACGTTATTTTGGTTTCGGCATGGATGCACTGGTAACCGTATGCTCTCGAAACACAAACGTTATTATGGTTTGGGCATGGATGCACTGGTAACCGCACGCTCTCGAAACACGAACGATATTTTGGTTTGGGCATGGATGCACTGGTAACCGCACGCTCTCGAAACACAAACGATATTTTGGTTTGGGCATGGATGCACTGGTAACCGTATGCTCTAGAAACACGACGCTATTATGGTCTGGGCATGGATGAACGGGTAACCGTATGCTACCGAAACACGACCGTTATCATGGTTTGGGCATGGATGCGCTGGTAACTGTATGCTCTCGAAACACGAACGTTATTTTGGTTTGGGCATGGATGCACTGGTAACCGTTAACTCTCGAAACACAAACGTTATTATGGTTTGGGCATGGATGCACTGTTAGGAGTATGATGGTCTCGGAGATTAGCGGAGAGGCGAACAACCATGAAAACAAACTAAAAAACAAGCCCAAATCGCCAGGCGCCTCGCGCGCGTGCCACCAAGTACTTATGACTGAGCTTATAAGCCTTCTCATGCCTGGCGTAACCGACATTAGTTCAGTTCGGGGGATATATCAGTAGGGTTGCCATCCCAGTTTTAATAGTTAGTGAGCCCCATGAACGTTCAAGTAAGAGGCACGGCTAGCTTTCCTTTATACGATATTTGGAATGTACAAGCACCTACTTGGATGGTCAGGGAACGTAGTATAGTACGAGAGTAAAACATTGCGGATAGCTGGGGGTGCTCTATGGCCTAAAGACCCCTGTTGAAAGCACGGTAGTTTGTAAGAGGCCCCTTCCCAGGTTCCGTGTTTATTTGAGGAGGAATCTTAGAGATTGGAGATAACAAATCTAGGCCTGTCAAAATCAGCAAACCTTCCGTCACCAATGTGAGAAGCATATCCCAGACAACCATGGAAGTACTGAAGTTGGGATGGTTGAAGGTTGGGACGAGGCGCCATAGCTGAGCCCCCTGAACCCTAAACCCCATGCCCTAAACCCTAAAACCCTAGATCCTAAACCCTAAATCCCAAAACCTGAATCCTAAACCCTAAACCCCGAAACCCTAAAGCCTAAACCCCAACCAGGCCGGGGCCTGATATAGCCAAGATGCCAAATTGAACATCTTACGCCTCGGATGACGTGAAGCAGGTGCATGCAGCACAACTGAAACCCAAAGGACCCAAGGACCCAAATAATAGGGTTCAGGGCTTAGGGCTTGGGGTTTTAGGGCTTTAGGTCCAAGGACCCGAACTATAGGGGTTATATAGGGGTATATAGGAGTAATGGAAAAGAAAATGGAAGCTACTATTTAGGGTTTAGGACCCAATTTATACCATCCATATTATAATATATGGGCCCTAAACCTTGCTACTGGGGTCCTTGGACCCTTTAGGGAAACTTTGGCTCGGGTTTGTTGGTGTAGATAAGGAAGTACTTAAGTTACATCTAAGTTACATCTAACTCCAGGGTTTGCTGGAGGGTTACTTGTTTCCAATCACGTTCCAATGCTACGAATGCTGGAGATTTTTCTGGAGATCCTTTAACAAGAGTTTTCCGCATCTCCCCAACCCTAGAGGGTTCCAAAATGCCCGAAGAGCGTGCTCTTCAAAGACTCTACGCCTTGGGTCGTGCCGGTGTAACTAAGGGCTATATATACGTATTCTACCAACTGTTCCCTGAGTGGGGGCAATACACACACACTCTGAAGCCCCAAGCAGGCCTCGTTCATGGGGCAAACAGTCTCCAAGCATTCGCAGCAGGATACTTGGGCTCGGGTGTACGGATCCGGGACGGACACTTCAGGATGTGCGCTCCCGAGCATCTGTGTGTGCCCTGCTGAAGATTATGCTGCCTTCTTGGATATGCTGCATGGCACGGCATCCGCTTCTTCAACCCTAAACCCGAAACCCGCTTTGGGGTGGCCATTTTGGATCCTAACTCTTGAAACTACGCATCTGAAGCGTCGTCTGGGTGATTGAAGCCGGATCCCAAAAACGGACTGTACCTACATCGTGCTGAGGGAGGGAAATCTTATAGAGGGAGGCAAACACTGGGAATGGCAGCCCCCCAATTGGTACAACCTCTCCTTGGGGAAATGTGCGTGATATGCCTGGTTGCTGTGCATTTTTGGTTGCCTGGCCTCCAGACAGGTTTTAATCTTGCTCTCACGGATGCCTCATGTAGAAAGCCTCAATGAGGACCCCCGAAAAATGGTGCAGATGCCCGTTTGCATGTGGCCCGACAAAACCTGCCCATCCACCAGCAGACGTGGAGGGCTGAAAAGGTGGTGTAAAGGAAGGTGGGGTATAGGAAACAGGCCCCGACATAATGGAGCGTATATTAGGAACCCTTTTGTTTTTTTACCCTAAACCCTAAACCTACCTCCATCCCACCTGTTGAGCTTCCTAAAGGTTTAGGGTCATCTGGAACCCAAGCAGCGGTCCGCGAAGGGATGAGTAATCCATCAAACGCCTCCTCTGCAGGTTCCACGAAACCCCAAGCCCGAAAACCGTGTGAAGGCGGGACTTCGCAGTATCATCCCCAAATTCGCAGACCCAAACCTGGCGGAATTATGAGTTCCAGCGTAAAACTCGCATAGAGCCCGTCTACGGGAATAGGAATCTATGAAGGACCTTCTTGGTAGCGTGATAATTACTTTGATGGAGGTTAACACCCTAAACCATAGACCCTAAACACCCCAAGTGAACCTGAAAGTGGCTGAGACCCGGGCAAGTCGTCATAGCTCAGCGTATGCAAGGCATACAGCATTACATAGCCTGACGCGCAACGCGACAAATGTATGTGCGGACATGGGGGCTGCCCAAAGTAGAAGGTCAGTAACAACCCTCTAGGGAGCCATGGTCTAAACTCCTAGTATCCCCCTTAATAACCCCTATAATTCCCCCCATAGAATCCGCTTCAAGGAGTTTAGACTATACCTAGACCCTCCAATGTAGTAGCTTTTTGGTCGTCCTAATAAGAGTCCTGACCAAGAAACCATACCAAACCAAAAAGGAACTACATTGGAGGGTCTAGGTAGCTCATAGGGAGACTATAGCTCATAGGCGGGCACTAGAGTCTAGGGGTCCAAGCATATCTGTTGCAGGATCCCGATTCACTTGGCCCAAAAGCCACGAAAACATTCAACCCCAGACGCCTAAACTTGAACAAAACGTCCGGCGAACAAAGAACAGTCTTATTCTTCTGGTGCTGGAGCCAGGTAAAGTTCTTCTTTTCTGCTTGCAAATGCAATGACAAAAAGGAATGCATAACATTACTCTATATTTGGAAGTATAGTCTCCCCACATCCAGTACTACTCTAGGGGGTCCCCCTAAATCCTGAACTCAGACTTTATGACACAAAGTCATGTCTCATCCACAACGAAACCCCGAGTCCCTAAGCCCCCAAACCAAACCCTAAACCCTAAGCCCTAAACCTAAACCCTGAACCCTCAGTGTTTGGGGCTTCAGGAATCTGAATCCAACCCGAGCTTCCCGAAGCAGTTTGGGGGTTTAGGGCTTAGGATTTAGGGTTCAGGTGAAATTCGCCCGATTGATATGTTCACCGAAACTTGGGCAGCTTCGTTCTGTGACGCATATTACTGTTGATAAATTAAACCCTGCATGCCCTTCATATACCTTCATATATAATACCATATTTCCCGAGGTTTTCGATACGCAGGGTCATGCAGAATTCTTAGTATCAACCGCATGGTCTCCAGTGCTTGAGCAGGGTGGGTTCTTTTGTGCTGGCTTCAACCTATGCTCAATTGGGGTTTAGGCCGCTGAAGATAACATCCGAGGGGATTACAGCTGATGGCGCAGCTGTACTTGAAGCTAGCATCAGAAGGGTTTTCGGCGGACAGCGCTGACATCATTAGGTATACTTAAAACCCCTAAAAACACACAACCACCCCAGTTCTCCCAATAATAAATCCACTTATAAGTCCTCCTGACCCTCCAAGTCAAGTGGGTGTTTCATGCTGGTCTGTGGTGAGTGTATATAGAGTTCCTTCACAATGTATATTTGGTGTCCAATCTGGAGGACGTGAAATTAATGCGTTGCTGTTACGTAAGGAACTCAAATTAAGACACTATACTGAGGAAGCCCTATTATTTACTATGTACCGATAATATGGGAACTTGAACCCCGAAACCCTAAAACCAGATTGAAATCCTATCTCTCCGCCAGGCCCTTATGGGGGGGATGGTGAGATACATCCTCAAAATTAGGGTTTAGGGTTTTAGGTAAATGCAATCCGTAGTCCTACCCCTGAAGCAATTACTGTAGAAACATACCTAAACCCTAAACCCTAAGCCCGCCTCTGCGCGGAATCAGCCATTCTTCGATTCGGCGCAGAGCCTTTTTCATCTCAAAACCCTTCACGGATGGAAGGCCATAGTACCCAACCTGACGCTCAGGGCTTAGGCTTAGGGTCTTCAGGGGTTGGGTTTAAGTTTTGGAGTTGGCGCTTTAGGATGTTTAGGGTTTGGGTTTGCGTGTCGGAGTTTGGAGTTTGGGGGGTCGCAGAGTCTGGTTGATGTGATGGAGCTTGGGGGTTTATGTAGAGCTTATGGCTTCCAACCCGTGGTAAGCAGCCATCTCTTTGGCCGTAGGGTTCACAGATAGAGAACCTGAGATTCACAAGCTAATTGTGGTAGTCTCCAGAAATGGAGGGACCCCAATATAGACCCAAAATACGATAATCCTTTTTATATGGACACCCAACAAAGTACACCTGATTTTGGGAAGCCCCCTTGTTCAGGCGTCAGTTCAAGCTAAACCCTCGGTTTAGGGTTAGGGCCTACCTGGACCTCAACAGTAGGTAAAATAATAGCCCACCCCTAAATGCAGCCCAAAAGGTCATTATTCTACATACTTTTGGGGTTTCGGTAAGCCACATATCTGGGCTTCTCGGGATCCCACTTACAAAGCCAAAGGCATACAAGCCTCTTCACACGAGGGCCCTAAACAGAAATCATGATTTTGAGAAACAATGTGGTGGCTTCTGTAAACTTGGGGGCCCCATGTCGACTCTGAAAGATAATGAAACTTATGATGAAGACCGCGCTAAGTCTTGAAAACCCCATGTATTGCATCTTCTATATTTTGGAATGGCCACGCGGGAAGGTTAGGACGACCTGGACCCTCAAGGTATCTAGAAAACTTGGTCCGATTGGCTCTTTTTATAAGCTCCGGGCCATGATCTACTTTTGAGGTCAAGGGGTTAAGGCCTCAGGAACTCCCCGTAGGGGGGCATCATAGGAATAGCGTTGCAAGATCGCAGATTGACCTTATTATTGGGATAACCTTCAGACTCTCGACTTTTCACACCATTTAAGCTGCTTCGTCTCTTACAATCAAGCGACATAAGAAGCAGGCCCACAGTCGCAAACCTCACCACCCTAATGCCAGAGTTACTACAGTGCCGGCTCTGTTTAAGAAAACATTGGTTAAGAAAATCAGTGCTCTGGATTTCCTAAACATATGCATTTTCACTGCCCCTTCTAGCTAAGAAAATGAGTGCCCTCTGACGTTCGGA